GTGGCGGAACTTGAGCCATCCAAGGGATCGTCAGATGACGTCGCTGCGTCTTCGGTGTCAGGGGTCGCCCCCGCTGCGCATGGGGCCGCTTACATGTGCTGGTCAGGCCCTCTAGGTCTCCATTTGACCCCGGAATTGCGCACCAAGATAGAAAAAGGGGAATTCGTGGAAATTTTTTCCTTGCTTCCTATGGAGGATCTGCCTCGGGTTGATCCTACGGCAAAAGACTCTGAAAAGGAGAAGGAGAAGTTTAGGTATCGGAAGATACCAAAAACTTTTGGTAATTGGATTAGGGCCTTTTCGATCCTGGCGAGTGTGATAGGTGAGAAGTCCCCTAATAAATGCTCATCCCTCTTTTGCTACCAGGATACGATATGGAACGCGTGCCGGACCTATGGCGGGTTAGGCTGGTGGCGCTATGATGAGCAGTTCCGCCAACGCATAGCGGTCCGCCCATCGTTGAGTTGGGACCAGATGGACATTGGCTTGTGGTTGGCCATCATGACCCGCCCGGCGTCGCATCAAGGGGGCCTCTCGTCCTTTCTTGGGGGGGCCGGCGCAGGGTCCTCGACCGCTGCGTCGGCCAATCAACGACGAACGGGTTGTTGCTGGCAGTACAACGAATGGGCAATGTAAATTCGGCGCAGGCTGTCGTTTCAAGCACGAATGTTCTGGGTGTGGCGGATCACACCCCGCCGCAAAATGCTTTAAGCGGGGCAGGCCTGGCGACAAGGGTGACGCCATGGGCTCAAAAGGCGAGGACGCCGGTGGACGTAGGCGCGATGCAACCGTGGTTAAAACGTTATAAAAACAAAAAGGCGGCCACCTTACTCCTGGAAGGTTTTACGTTTGGCTTTTGGATTCCCCACCAACCTCGACCGGCGTCAAATGTATGCCGGAACTTGCGTTCGGTCTATGACCACCCTGGGGTGGTCAGGGACAAGTTGGCCAAGGAAGTGGCTTTGGGGCGTATGGCAGGCCCTTTTCGGGAATCCCCTCTCCCGGATCTCCGGGTGTCGCCATTAGGCGTCGTACCCAAGAGAGAACAGGGTAAATTTCGGCTCATTCATCATTTATCGCACCCCCATGGGAGGTCTGTAAATGATGACATTGCATCGGAATTATGTCGTGTTTCCTACGCCTCGTTTGATGCTGCGGTTTGTATGGTCAGAGCTGCCGGATCAGGGGCACTCATGGCAAAAGCAGACATTGAGTCTGCTTTTCGCCTCTTGCCGGTTCACCCGGGATGTCATCATCTCTTAGGTTGTTACTTTGAGGGGCATTACTATGTGGACATGTGCCTCCCGATGGGCTGCGCGATCTCCTGCTTCTATTTCGAGTGTTTTAGCTCATTTCTTGAATGGGTGGTGAGAATGGAGTCTGGTCACAGCTCCCTCCTTCACTACTTAGATGACTTCTTGTGTGTTGGTCCCGCGCATTCCTCAATCTGCTCACAGATTTTGCAGTCGGTGGCGGATGTGGCCTCTGGGTTTGGTGTACCGCTGGCGCCCGACAAAACAGTGGGCCCTTCAACGTGCCTGTGTTTTCTTGGGATTGAGATTGATTCCGTTATTGGGGAATGCCGGCTCCCGGTGGACAAATTGGTAGATCTACGGGGGTCTGTGCGTGAGGCGGGCTCCTTGCGTAAGATCACTCTCCGACGCCTTCAATCCCTTTTAGGCAAGCTAAACTTTGCCTGCCGGATCATGCCTATGGGCAGAGTATTCAACAGGCGTCTGGCGGCCGCCACGTCTGGAATCTCGAAGCCCTTCCACTTCATCCGCTTAACTAAGGCGCTCAGGGAGGATCTGGCAGTCTGGGCTGTTTTTCTTGAAACTTACAACGGGAGGTCTTATTGGCAGCAGCCAGAAGTTTCGAATGCAGCGCTTCACTTGTTTACAGATGCTGCGAGTTCCTCGGGTTTTGGGGCTATCCTGGGGTCTCATTGGTGCGCGGAACCTTGACCTGTATCTTGGGTCGATTCAGGCCTTACCAAGAACCTGGCGTTCTTGGAGCTCTTCCCCATCTTGGTCGCTGTCCACCTATGGGGTACGGAGCTCAAAGACAGGCGTGTCGTCTTCCACTGTGATAACCTGGGTGTAGTTCAGGCCATCAATAACCTGACGGCCTCTTCCCCTCCAGTGGTTAGGCTATTGCGACAGCTGGTTTTGCGATGCTTGTCTCTGAATATAACATGCCGTGCTGTGCATATTCCCGGGGTCATGAATATTACGGCTGACTCTCTTTCTCGCTTTCACTGGCAGGTGTTTCGGAAAGCCGCTCCGGGAGCAGACTTGGAAGGCCTCCCCTGTCCCAGAGAACTATGGTCCCTTGGCCTGAGCGGATAAGGGAATGGATACGGTCCTCGGTGTCTGAGGCGACATGGGTCCGGTATGGTAAGGCTTGGGGGGACTGGGTTGCTCTTGAACAGGATTGCGGGGGTTACACTTCTTCGGCGGAACGAGTTCAAGGTTTGTTACGTTTGCTTTGGTTTTGGGAGGCTTGCGGGTGTTCCCCGGCTACTGTTTCGGGGAAGCTTTCGGGTCTTAGTTTCTGGTTTAACCTAACTCGGGTGCCGGATGTCACAAAAGATTTCATGATTAAGCTTGCGATGCATGGTTGGCGTAGGGGCCCTCGTGGACAGGACTCTCGTAGGCCGGTCTCGGGGGCGCTGCTGCTAGGAATTGCCTCAGTACTACCGCAGATATGTTATTCCGATTATGAAGCTAGTTTATTTCGTTTGGCCTTCATTTTTGCCTTTTTTGGGGCCCTCCGGATTGGGGAACTAGTCAGCCCGAACAGGGGGACTCCGGGGGGCTTGTTAGTTCATGATGTGTTCCTCTTGGATGGTGCGGTGCGTTTCTTGATACGGCGGTCAAAAACTGACGTTGTTGGGAGAGGTCGCTGGGTTACCCTTCGCACCATCCCTAATTCGTCTGTTTGCCCAGCCGCTGCGTATCAGTCCTACTGCTCCATACGCCCGAATCTTGCGGGTCCGTTGTTAATGCACGAGGATGGTACTTACCTGTCTCATTTTCAATTCCTCAGAGTATTTCGGTTGGCGCTCGACAAGCTGGGAATCCCGAGTGGTGAATTTGGGGGTCATTCCTTCCGGATTGGGGCAGCTACAGAAGCCTCTCGGTTGGGTTTTTCTGATCAAGTGATTCAGAGGATTGGGAGGTGGGAATCTGGGAGGTTTCGTTCTTATATCCGGCCCACGCGTCTGATGGGTGCCTCCCTTGTGTTTTCTCCGCAGGGTCTGGCCGACGGATCTGGCTGATTGGGCATTCATATATCTACTGGGCCCACCTGCGGGCAGGGGTACGCCCGGGTGGGACGCGACTTGGAGTTCCCCGGGAGCTGGCTGAGGTCCGATGGTTCGGTTTTCGGGGCATGCGCTGGGGCCAGCTTTTGCCGGAGGTGTTACAGTTGGCTACATTGTTGGGGGCCCCTGATGTATTGGTGATACATCTGGGGGGAAATGATCTTGGGGCGCTGCCTGCTTGGGGGCTTAGTGAGCTCATTAGACGGGATTTGGCGCGCTTGCTGGTCCTCTTCCCGCAGCTCTGCTTAGTCTGGTCAGGTATAGTATCTAGGAACTATTGGCGCCGCGCGAGGGATCAGGGTGCAATTGAGCGCTGCAGGGTGAAGATCAACAAGAGGGTGTCCAAATTCGTACTCGGGGTTGGGGGTGTCACAGTGCGACACCGGATATTCGAAAGGGAAGCGGCGATCTATTTTCGCCCGGACGGGGTCCATCTCACGGATGTGGGTTTGGATTTATTTAATCTTGCGCTGCAGGACGCGTTAGAGCAGGCCATGGCGGTGGTGGGGAGTCGCGCCCGCTGATTTAGGCTTAAATGCAGTAGGCGCTAGTGGCGGGTATGGTCCTTGCCAAACCAGTTGGAAAACGAGTACACCGGAAGAAGGAATGCTGGGTCTGGTCCCTCCCCTAAACTCGGAGAGTTTGTGGTAGTTGGGCGTGCCCCCCGTGCCAGTAAAAGGCGGCCAGGGGTTGGCATGGGGAATTGGAAGGCCAAGTTAAAAGGCCAGTTATTGTGGATGAGGGGGGAGGGCAGTTACCCTGGTTGGTGGTACTCTGGAGTCATTATGGTTTGGTTGGCAAGGACAATATTTTTCGATAAAATATTGGCTGATTGATTTATGTTTATTATTATAAATAAAGCTGTGGCCTGTTTTATACCACATTTATGTCTCTTGGTTTTAATTGGGGGGAAAATTGGGATAACGTAATTTTGATTGCTTTAGTTCGCACCGCACAATAACCACTACCTACACACAAGGCCCAGAGGAGGCGGGCTAAAAGCTAGCCGGATAGGAGGCATGTGTGGGTGTGGTGGGTGTAGGTGTCACATGTGGGGGGTGTCACTTAGGATAGGGGTGGGGTGGGGTCATATAAAAGGGCAGTCATTTTGTCCCTTACCTCAGCCATCTTAGAATAACGGCTGGTAACATCTTCCCTCCCGCCCACCCTTGCTTGTGATTGTTGTATATTGTATATCTCTAACTTTCTTTCTTGTCACGGCTGGCGGGTATGGTCCTTGCCAAACCAGTTGGAAAACGAGTACACCGGAAGAAGGAATGCTGGGTCTGGTCCCTCCCCTAACCTCGGAGAGTTTGTGGTAGTTGGGCGTGCCCCCCGTGCCAGTAAAAGGCGGCCAGGGGTTGGCATGGGGAATTGGAAGGCCAAGGTAAAAGGCCAGTTATCGTGGATGAGGGGGGAGGGCAGTTTCCCTGGTTGGTGGTACTCTGGAGTCATTATGGTTTGGTTGGCAAGGACAATATTTTTCGATAAAATATTGGCTGATTGATTTATGTTGTTATTATAAATAAAGCTGTGGCCTGTTTTATACCACATTTATGTCTCTTGGTTTTAATTGGGGGGAAAATTGGGATAACGTAATTTTGATTGCTTTAGTTCGCACCGCACAATAACCACTACCTACACACATGACCATTTACAAAATATTATTACATGGATGGAAGCTGAGAAGAGATTCCGATGTGGTAAAACTATTGATGCATCAGTTCAGAAGCAAATTCTGCTGGAAAAGCAACATTGGCGTGAAATTCTAGAAAGGCTCCTAGCCACAGTTCAGTTTTTAGCATCTTACAACCGACCATTTAGAGGTCACAGAGACACTTTAGAAGTAGAGAAAAGTGGCAATGTCATAGACCGGATAAAGCATTCTGCAATGTTTGAGCCTGTTCTCCGTGAACACTTACAGCGAATAGAAGACAAACGTATTCACAACCACTACTTGGGAAAAAACATACAAAATGAATTAATTGCCTTGGTGGCCAAGCACGTCAAGCAGACAATTATTCAAAAGATTCTTCAAGCAAAATATTACTCAATCATTCTTGATTGTACGACCGATATCAGTCACATTGAACTGATGACAGTGATATTGCGCCATGTTGATGAAGTGTCCGGCAATATTGAAGAGCATTTCATTGGATTTATAACAGTTGAAAAAACTACAGCTGAAGAATTAACAAAAACCATACTGTTTGAAATTGATGAGTTAGGTTTGGACATCAAAAACTGCAGAGGGCAAGGATATGATAACGGCGCTAACATGCAGGGAGAGAAAAGTGGTGTGAAAACCAGAATATTAAATATCAATCTTTAGCCTTCTTTACACCCTGTGGTTGTCACAGTTGGAATTTGGTGCTTGGTGATGCAGCAGCATCTTGTTCAAAAGCAAAATGATTTTTTGGTGTTTTGCAAAGGTTGTACACACTATTTTCCGGGTCATCCAATAGATGGTCTGTTTTAAAGGAGAAGGTAAATATCACCCTCAAGCCATTGTCTGAAACTAGATGGGAATGCAGAGCTGAGAGTGTAAAGGCTGTCCGGTACCAGCTACAAGAAATTGCTGAATGCCTGGAAGAAGTGACACAGAAAAGTAATGATCCTAATTCACTACAAGGAGAAATGTTGTCATCCGAGTTTGTTTTATCATTAGTTGTGTGGTATGAGATTTTGGTGAAAATAAACCTGGTCAGCAAGGTATCGAAAAAGTCTAATATGCAGTTGGATACTGCATTAAAACATTTGGAGGAATTCATGTGCTGTTTGGAAGACTACAGACAAAATGGCTACAATTCTGCCATAGTTGCTGCCAACGAAATTGCACAAGAAATGAACCTTGTAAGAGAATTTCGACAGTGCAGGATACGCAGGACCAAAAGAATGTTCGACTATGAGGACCCAGATGAAGTGTTGGTTAACCCTGCAGACAGGTTCTGAGCAAAATATTTCAACATTATTCTTGATAACATTCACACTGGTGCCGAGCCTCGATTTAAAGGTTTAAAAGACTACGTCAGCAATTTTGGTTTCATATATGATATTTCATCTTTATCTATGAAACCTGATGAAGAACTTTTAGAAAATTGTAAAGAACGTGAAGCACTTCTAACTTTACCAAATTTTCTTGATGCTGACATAAGTGGTTTGGAATTGTACGAAGAGCTACGAATGTGCACCCGTACTATGCCTCCAAAATTGGATATGTGCAACTCTCTGAAACACCTCATTGATAATAACTTAACTGACGTTTACCCAAACATTTATGTCGCATTAAGGGTCATCTTAACAATTCCAGTCACTGTAGCATCAGCCGAAAGGAGCTTTTCTAAACTTAAATTAATAAAAACATACCTAAGATCATCTATGAGCCAAGAGAGATTAGCTGCATTGGCAATTTTGTCAATTGAACACAATCTGGCTTCAAAATTAGATTATTCATCTGTGATAGATGACTTTACACATTCAAAATGTAGGAGAATGTTTTAAAGCTCACTTTTATTATATTGTGATTTTCATTTTATTAAGGCTCGGTATTCGGTTTTCCTCTGTTATTTCCTTGCTTTTGTTGTGTTATGACTTAATTGAGAGAATTCTTTCAATGTGATTGGAAATGCTGGCTGGGCAGCAGATGTCTGGTGTGAAGGATTTAGTGAGGTTGATAGCCCATCCAGGGTGACCAACGTTTAACAAATTGGATGAAACTCAGGTTTTGTATTTTAATATTTAAGGTATTGTCTACTCTTGTTAAAAACAAGAAACAGAGTTATTTATTTGGTATTACTTATTATTACTTTGTACCCATTATTTTCCTTGCACTATTGAGTAAACTGTACTATTTTTTTCTGTTTTTTTACATGTTCATAAAAAAAAATGTGATTGCGTTTTGTGTTTAAATATTTGCTATTGTTTGTTCTTGTTCAAAATAAAAAAACAGTTCTTTATTTGTTATTAAAAAAATAAAAAATATGGATGTATGTGGTCACATGACCGTTTTAAGTTACGTTTTTATTTTATTTCACTATATTGTAAAATATCATTATTTACTATGTGTATATACATTAGTATTACCACAAGAACAGAGAAATATGCAGACCGTCTCAATTATATGAATGAAACTTACTGCATTGACTGGAAAAAATATATCTATGTATAGCGCGATGTTCCAAGTATAGAACCTGGCTATTAGAAATAATATGGTCAGAGACCCTAATTAAACAAAGTATATACAAATGAACCTACAATCCTATGCCAGCCCAGGGTAGTATAGATCAAGAGGTAGTAAAAAAGATAACCTCACTCCCCCTTAAAATTAACTTTATTTTATATCGTTTTCTTCTTTTCTTTCCTATGCCTATCTAGCTAGCTTTACAGAGAGAGAGGCTTTATTAATGCTAATTATCAGTCTGTTTTTGACTGATTTTTTTACTTCTATTTTCAGTCCTTATCTCTCTCTGTTTTTCTTAATATGTTTCTAGTGTGACCAGGATACTTCCTAGGATGCATGGATTATAGAGACTTAGCTACTGTATACTCCTATCCCTATAGCAGATTACAATAAAGCTTAATTATAAGGGGGAGTGAGGTTATCTTTTTTACTACCTCTTGATCTATACTACCCTGGGCTGGCATAGGATTGTAGGTTCATTTGTATATACTTTGTTTAATTAGGGTCTCTGACCATATTATTTCTAATAGCCAGGTTCTATACTTGGAACATCGCGCTATACATAGATATATTTTTTCCAGTCAATGCAGTTTCATTCATATAATTGAGACGGTCTGCATATTTCTCTGTTCTTGTGTTTATATTTGGGGTTAAGCCCCTCTGAGACAGCTGGAGTCTCATACTGGTACGTTGGTCTCTGCGTGACCCCTGCAGCCACTGCCCCCCTTTTGGGGAGGTTTTGAGGTGGTGGGTGCGGCGGCTATACAGGGACTTGGAACGTTGTGTTCCTTGTTCTCTTTTTTATACATTAGTATTACTATAGAGATGTGCTTTTTAGTACTTTATTTTATATTTGAAGTTCACTGTACAGACATGTATGTCTTTTATCATTGTATGCATAAATTATGACGTCATTTTGGCGCCAATTTTGAACTAAAAAGTTTATATAAACCAGTTTATACCAGGTCTCTGTTTCTATATGCCAGTTGAAAAAGCCCTGTGCGGCGAAACGCGTTTTGGCTATTTTACTGTAGTATTTTATTATCTCATATTGTATTAATAAAGGATTATTGGCTAATATACATTTTTTTCTTCCTGCCATATTCCTATTATTTTCTATTTTTTATTTATTTTATTCCTGGACCTGGTTTTTATTTCAAGCACTTTTTATCTGTGCCCAAGAATCCTAGGTGGGGACTATACCACCC